CTCCAGGGGCAGCAGCAAAATTCAGCACAGCCTTCTGTCCAGTGTTCCTGGAAGAAATGACACTGACATCGGCAGGGTTTTCAATGGCAACAATGGCACGAGCTGCCAGCAGAAGCTTCTCCCAGGTCCTCTTCAGATTTACGATGTAGATACCATCACTTTTCCTCTTGCTCCATTTGGAAGTCAAGGTTGGTGCCACCTAAGTGGGTTCCTGTGGCAAGGAACTTGAGGACATCCTCCTTCGTCTGCAGGACATCAAGGCGCCGGACACCGTGAAAGTTTTCCTGTAAGTTACGAAAGGCGTTGTTACCCAGAACAACGCCATATGGACCCTTGGGCAGGTAGCACGGAAAAGTAATCTAACTACTTTCAATAGCAAGTTCAGCTGGTAATTTCAAGAAAAGCAGTTTTAACTTTAATAAATCAAAGAAATGCTAAGTAACTTTGCTTAAAACTTAAAGTCAGAAAACAGGTTAAGATTCTGTTCAAATAGTAGGTACATTAACCTACTGACAGCTCAAGACAGGACAAAAATCCTTAAAACTGGAAACAAAGCCTAGAAGAAAATCAGCCATATTTTAGTCAAAAGTCATAAAATGCTATTTCACCAGTTCAGTCTCATGTACTTAATCTATCTTCTGTTGTGGTTCGATCTTCCCAATTCGATTCTGGGATCTAATATTCAACTTCAGACCTGTCCCTACAATTAAGTTGGCCCTTTTCTTAGTTTTTTTTTTTTTAAAGAGGTTTTTCGCTATAGGGCGTGTGCGCTCGCCAGACAGACAGAGAGACATAGAGACAGAAAGCGAGAAATCACCCCCCAGGGGGGATGGTCACGCCGCAATCCCTTCTCCTCCATTCTCCTCTCAGAATCTTGGGCATGCACGCACACGCACCCGGCGTGAGTTTTAAGCCACTGGGTCCGGGACGCAAACCGCGGTCAACTACGTGGGAGTTCAGTGACATAGCCATTACGCTAACTGCTGGTTCCCGTTAGTTTTTGAACTCTTATTTCTCGTGTCTATATTTAATTTTCCTGATATAGCACTCCCTTGAGAACTTCTTGGAGATCTGGTCTGGTGTTGGTCAATTCTTTCAGGTTTTGTTTATCTGAGAATATTCTTGTCTTTTCTTCCCATATGAAAGATAATTGTGCCAGGTACAGTATTCTTGGTTGAAATTGCTTTTCCCTTAACTGTGCCACACACATGAGGCACAGATCTTCTCCTAATCATTCACTGGGTGACCGGCTCTGTTAGCACTGTAAGTCCCATACTGTTTTGGTTTTGGTCAGTCTGGCTATGATGTGCCTCAGGAAAGATCTTCTTGGGCTGATGCTATTTGGGGTCTTTTTTATTTCTTGGGACTGAATCTTTGAGTGCCTCTCTAGGTTTGAAAAGTTTTCTTGCAGGATTTCATGGAATAGATTACCTGTGCCCTTGTGAGTCTCTTCGCCTTCTGGGATACCAATTATCTGGATATTTGGATGTTTTATGGTATCTAGTACTTCTCGTATATTATTCTCATTTTGGGGGGCAATTTTCTCAGTCTCTGTGGTGGATTTTTCTAGGCCAGCTATTTTATCTTCTACATCTGAGTTTCGATGTTGTGTATGATCTAGTCTGTTTTTTTTTTTTCTTTTTTCTTTTGATTTTTTTGCTATAGGGCATGTGTGCTCACCAGAAAGACAGAGAGACAGAAAGCAAGAAATCAGCCCCCCCCAGGGGGGATTGGCCATGCCGCAATCCCTTCTCCTCCATTCTCTTCTCAGGATCTTGGGCATGCACACACATGTGCCCAG